TACAACTAATTCGAAGTTTTAAAATTACTTTGAAAATATCACAGTGAGAATAACTAAATTCCACTTCCCTTAAAATCGTTCCCCTTCCCGAATTTAGTAGAAGTTTGTAGCCAACTACCGGCTGATACATTTAAGTGGGTAGTACACTCGTTATCTTGGAAAGTATTAACTTTTTCGGGAATTTTTTTTTCTAGAATATTTAAGAAACAAGCTGCTCGACAATTTTATATTAATGTTATGTTTTGTTACTCTTATTTTTGGGGGTAAAACCACTATCTAATTTTAAATTTTAAAATTGCCACCTATATTAAAAAGTCTATAAATAAATGGAGTATTAATTAAAACAAATTTTAGTGTTGACATTTTTGATTTCCGTTGATCCGTTGACGTTTACTCCACTTTTATGTTTGGGCTGGAGGAGAATGGTGGTACATTATCAACACGCCATTTGAAAATTCCTGAAAAAGTCAATACTTCCCGAGATAATGAGTGTACTCACTTTAATGGATCACTTGGTATAGTAATAAAACCAAAAGGGAACCGATTGTTTCGCATTAAAAAAAAAGACAGGACTCCGTCCCCCTCCCAAATTTAACCACCGTCCCTAAGACATTTTTTCGTTTAAATATCAATTTAAAAAAAAAAAAAAAAACCTTCATATATCCGATATCCTTGATATCAGCCGATATTCACTGTCAATCAGTACGTAAACACGTATTATTCGTATTAGAACAATGCACAACTATGAGAAGAAGACGTGTCCGCGATTCGCAGTACTAATAATAATATAAATAAACAATTGTAAGTGCGTATTTTGATATCGAGACACAATAATGTATTCTCGTTTAAAAGTATATTTTGTTAAATAAACTAACTGTCCCGCTCGGCCTTGCCCGTGCCAATCTTTATTTATTTATTTTTTTTTTACCCATATTGTTTTTTTGGTTTTGACCGTGTCAGTAATGAATAAAAACAAATAGGTGGAAAGTAGGTGGTCCACCTTCGGCGGACTAAAATGACATATATTTTTAAATTTTAAATTACTATTTGCCTTAAGCTTTAAATATTTCTGGATACACCACGTCAAGTGTCTCACCTTCTGGGGCTTGGGCGAATACATTTTGTTTGCATGTGGAACGTGACAGAGCCGCGTATAATTGACCATGGGAAAAACATTGGACGGTCAGATCTAAACGTGTAACGTTTAATGTTTGACCTTGTATGCTATCGATGGCCATTGAAAAACATAGTTCTACCTGAAATCGGAGCCGTTTAAACCGAAATGGTAGATTGGTTGATATCATTGGTATTCTAGGAACCGAGGCCGTTTTCCCCAGCTCCACCGTCAACAAGCACTCAAGCAGACGGTTTTTTCAAAGACTTTATTTGCAATCTTTTGCCGTTGCATAATTTTGATGGACATAAGTTCCGGAGTAATATCATAGGAGAACCTACCGTTAGAATTTATTTATGCGGTAGAGTCCCTGGATGGGTTGAAGAATTTAAAAATTCAGCCGGACAACGTACCGCCTCCTCTCTATCAATAACAGTATCGACTGAATAGTAAATTTGCGTTGGCGCATTGGATCTTAACCGCACCGTGTCATTTATTTGCTATTGACTTGCTCGTTAGTCGACGGCAATATTGCTCTTTCCTGAGACCAACTCAAGGTCTTAGTAGAAATTTATCTTAGTTGGATATTTCTGGGTAAACATAACGTCTGTATAGTCTCGGTCAGCAGAAGTTCCATTACAACGTATTAAGCATTTGCCGTGTAGCGTCCTACATTAGATCTTTGTTTTGGCATGGCTAAAACGCAAAAAATTTTTAAAAACAGTTTGCGGTTTTATTGAATAATAGAATGGCACATAAATCTTTATAATTATTTTTATTAATATTAATTACCATAGATGCGTTTTGACCAACATTTCAAATTTGTTTTCATTTCATCCGTATGAGATAATATCTTATAAGGATAATCCAAATAAATAAATAACAACAACACTTAATTACCCGATTTCGGAGGATGGTTTTCATTAGGGGACGGATATCAATAGTTATAAACCTTCCCCGAGACTCGACCGATTCATTAGTGAAAAAAGTACTAAAATCCGTTGAGTATTTTTCGAGATATGAGCGTACATACCAAAAAAAAAAAAGGCTTCTATTTTAAAATGTCAATAATATAGCAAACTAATAATCTAAAAATATTTGTAGTTAAAAATTTGTTTATAATATAAAAAAGCGGTGATAAAAAAAAAAATAAATACCGTAGTCTATATGCATTTATCACGATTAATAATACCGCGGTATTGTGTCGTCCAGTCGTAAATTTGTGTTGTTTTTGATAACATATTAATATCATTAAACCCGGCGCGTATACGTGCAGGCTCTTGTTTTGTTTTTTTGTTTTTTTTTTTACATTTTAATTTGAAATGTATTATAATATACCAATCATCGCGATTACGGCCACCGTTCTGATATATTACTAAATACCTATTATTAAATACTAGCTGACCCAGCGATGCTTTGCTATTGCCAGATATAATAACGTAACTTAATAGTTTTCTTGCCCGTGCCGACCGAATTGTCATCCGTGCCATCACGTGAATAAACAAAAACGAATAAATTGACAATTTAGATATTCGCATCGGAAATGTCCGAAAACAACCGTTTATTTTACGACCTTAGTGGTTGGATTTTCAAATGTCCTTTCTTAGCGTACGCCTAAATCGTAGTAGCTATCTGTAAGCTAAATTTCAGCCCTATCCGTCCAATAGTTCGGGATAGGCGACAGCGAACCAGTCAATCAGTCAGTCGGAACGCGTAGAAATAGATATAGATTATTATTGTTTAACCATTGTTATAGCGTTTTTTATTGTAGTTTTTGTACAATTTGGGACGTTTTTCTCAAATTTTAGATTTCGCAATTTTTTTTTTTTTTATAAGGGCATTTTTGTCTGTTTTTTTTTTTAAAATCATCAACATATCCTATCTCTATAGTAATAACGCATACAATTCGACTGTTTCAACGATACGAAAATTCGAAAAAACATCGTAGACGGAAATATTATAAACCGCGTTATAATTTATTTGTTTCGTTACGATTCGTCGTTACAAATGCATAATAAACACGCGTATTATAATAATATTAGAAAAGTATAACGGATAATATAATTGTTTAATCATTTTATTGACGTTCCGTTTACGAGTTCATAAATATATGTAAAAATAGTGTCGATCTATTATCCGTAGTGGTTCGGTTATTATAAAATCGTAAAATTACATTATTTACAGGCTCGTGAATAATTGAGTTTTAACAATAACGTTTCAGTTTATTTACATTAACCGATTAGTTTTATTTTCACGTATAATATTAACTCAGTTGTGCTATAGGACCCTCGTAAATATTATGCTACACGTATCAATAGCGTATTTAGAATTTTGCCAAGGAGGGAGATATTGAATTTTGAAATACTGTATAATACGCGGGGTTACGCGAGTGCGTACCGACACGACCCTTTTTCAATGTCCCAAGTGCGTCTGGAAAAAGGTGTTATCCGAGTGCGTCAAAAAACAAAAAAAAAAAAAGGTCATTTTGTAACATAGCCCGTATGCGTCTCGGTTTATTTAGAATTTTAGAGTTAACCACGGTGCACCACGAAGAGATGAACTTGCTTGCGATTCTGAGCGGAGATCAATTGATAGTTTCGCTTTATCAACAATATATACGTCATGGTAAAATCGTTGACGAAACTGAACTTCGCTCAAAATCGTTTATTCGTTAGCAATAGTTTATCGTTGCTTACAGATGTACAATAAGTTTCCGTCTGTATCCTGCCTTCCCAACTTCCCACCTACAACAGTGACTGCGCCCACGTGCGAAGTGTGTCCGTCCATTTTTTATTTTTATCGGGTTCATCGGTATCATCAAAGTAAAATGTAAATCAACAAAAAAAAAAAAAAAACAATTCGATATCCGTACCGAAAATATCAATCACCCGTCCGTTCGTCGGTTTTGGCGCGAAGGGGTAACGAAAAAACAACAGCCGGTCAAACCGTTCTCATTTATAATATCGACTATCCAGTTTGGATCTACAACAGTTTAAAAATGAACCTCTTTTTCCGGGTGGTGATTTAATAGTTTAACGAAAATTTGGTCAAAACGCGGAATTTACGATAGGTATGAATACAATTCTCTGTACAACCTAACCTATAACCTGGCCTTAGATACAAACATTACGGGCGTGATCGTCATTGAATCGACACGGCGTTTGTACGATAGTATTTGTACGGGAGTACCGGCCGTCGTCGTTGTACAGCCGAGAGTCCGATGCTACGCGCCGCGCGAAGAACCTGCGGCGGCAGAGTCGTCGTCGAGGGGAATACGGCGGCGGCGGCGGCGGCGGCGGCTGCGTCGACGGTGAAAACACGGCGAGCACGCGGCGGGGAGGCGCGCGGGTTGCATAAATCAACGGGTTTTTTTTTTTTTTTTTTCCCCCGCGTTGATGGGCTCCGGTCCAACCAGCGTCGGCGTCCTCGACGACCGGAGAGAGGGGTCGCGCGCGTTTATATTTATAAATATACGCGCGCGTACACTGCCAGCGGCGGCGGACATTAAAAACCCGCGCGCCGCCGCCGCCGCCGCCGTTCCGTTTCGGTTTTTACAACCGTCTCTCCTATGACGGCGGCGTCCGCGTCCGCGTCGGCCCCGCCGCGTGACGTGTCCCACGTCTCGTCTCCGCGGCCGCGGCGGTACGGAGGACGGGGCGCGCGCGCGCGCGCGTTCAAAGGGAAACGGACGATGTAAAAATAATAATAATAATAAAAAAAAACGAAAACCCGGGGAAAACGGGGGGGAAAAAATGAAAAGAAAAGGGGGTTGCCGGTGGCGTCGCGTCTCCGGGAGGGGGTCGTAAAAAGGCCCCCTCGACGTTTTCGGATTTTTACGACGCGCGTACACACGGCGTACCGCCTTTACGGTCGGGTATATTGTGCGCGCGCGTGTGTGTGTGTGTGTGTGTGTGTGTGTGTGTGTGTGTGTGGACTTACTCGCGTCACCGAACACGCGCGCACACACACATACGCACGCACGCAGACACTCGCGGGACGGCGGCGGTGTACGCGCGGTGTTCTGCGCGTCTTCGCCGGCCGCCATGTACGCGGGACGACGCTCGCAACCCCCTCACCGGTTTTTGCGCCCCCTCCACGACGGGTGGCACCGGCGGCGGCGATGACGACGGCGACGGCGACGGCGACGGCGACGACGACGGGTTCCGCGGCGCGCGCGTTTTCCGCCGCTCTACTCGGTTTCGCACCCCGGACGCGCGCGGACGCCAACCCCAGCGCCGCGATGTTCACCGCATACGCTCACCTACGCGCGCCGCGACCGTCACGACCGGCCGACACGACACCGCGACGACGACACGACGACCACTCCGCAAGTCCGGCACGATGTACGCTGCACGTGAGTATACTATACGAGTTTTCTTATTTTTCTGTTCTTTTTCTCTCGGATATTTCGCGTATTTCACGTAGTCGTGTAGCGTTACGAGTACGCACGGACGTAGACTTTGGGCCGCATCCGGGTCGATTTTCCGTCGAGTGTCCCGAACGACGCGGACAAGGATTTCGCGTCGGAATTCCGTCCGGGTTCGCTGTAAAAATCCCGGGACCCGGAGTATTCCGCCGGAGGAGCTTGGTTTTTTTTTCACTCGGGGCGGGATTCGAACGGCGGTCGACAATTGTTTCAGTTTTGGTAAAACAGAATCTTCGCCCTACTCTGAATCGACATAGTAACAATATTGCCGTGTCAACGATTACGATTGCGATGCGGATCGAGTTCTAAGCCCGGTCGGTTTTCCGCGATTCCCCCTCCTCCCATCTCCCTCGATATTATAATATCCCGTACGGCGTTTCTCCTGGCCGTTTTCCCCGACCTCCTTTCCCCGTCGTCGCGCGCCTCGTTCGCGTGCGAGACGGCGTGATATTCACTCGTTTTCCCGCGACCCAGCGACCAAAGTCTGCCGACCGCGACTGCCACTGATAGTGTTTATGTGTTTTGCACACACCGCTGCGGGTTCCCCCCCCCCTCGAATTCCCGTACTCGCCGCCGTCTTGCCGAGTTTTACCCGTGTGTGACGTATTTTGTACATTTCACAGTTTTCGTTTCCGTTTTCCGGGTTTCGGTTCGGCCGCGGTATGCGCGTTACACTTCCCGTCGAATGAACCGCGGCGCCGACAAGAACGCGTGTGGATCTCGTCTGGCCGCCGATGCCGTAACGTTATTCGTGACGAAATCGCGCGGCCTCCGACGATGTCAACACACGTCGTAATATTACGGTCCGTATGTCCGTGTACGGGTATACTTTTAAGAGTACGCCAAGGGGACGCTGAAAAACCGGGACGGGGGCGTCATTTCAGAATGCTTTTGTCATACGCACAGGTCTTAAATGAAACCGCATGACGATCGTATTGCCGATCGAATAAAACCGAAGTCGACTATTTTTGCCCGTGCGAATTGATCGAAAACAAATTTTTTAAATCGTCACTCTCCGTTTCCACTCCTCGCCTATCGCAATTGACCGTTGTTGCCAGGCGATTTATTCGATTTTTTTTTTTTCTAAGAGTAATTCTTTGCGCTCGCGACAACCAAATTAACTGACAATAAACTGTTCGTCAGTGTCGCCAAAATAACCCGTAAACCAACATAAACAAATCGATTTTCGTAACGAAAATACAAACAACTCCGCGTCAGCCCCCCTCTCACTCCTTTTCGGGATCAAATGCCGGGACCAGTGCCGGCCCGATGGATTTCGGGGCCCGGTGCAGAATTTCGGAGGCCCCACATATATTTTATACATGTCTATTTTTATTTATTTTATTTTCTAACGGACTTTATTTTCAATGTAATAAACTTTAAAGTTTTATTAGAATTTTAAATGTGTATACTTATGCATAAACTAATAACATCGAATTTGTATTTTTATATTAGACAAAAAATGAGTAGGTATCTACTTTAATATTTTTTTATTAGCTATTGCCGGGTTGCATAAACGATCGATAAAAACAGCTCGATAGGGTTTGCTGTCGGGCCGATAAACTATTATACAAATATCTTCATCGGTTCCATAATACAGTACAGTAATGTTGCATAAAAAGTTCAACTTAAATATAATTATTTGATAATTTTCTCTGATCGTAATAGTGTGGTAGATTCAATAAATGATAAATCGGTCATTATTTGTTATCATCCTTTTGAAATTATGTGTTTACATACATTGTTAAACAAATACAAAATTGAAAAAGACTAATAAAACGTGTAACCACAGGATAAACTATGTCAATAACCAACAAGTAAGCAAGTAGCGGCTACCGGGTGACGGGAATAAATATGTAGGCGTATTATCAGTTTAACAAACAGTTATGGGACTGTTTTTATTACTTATCGAACCAAAATCGGGCCTCTAACTTATCGATTCGATAAGACATTGTTTGGTGAATCGACAAACGGTAAAATTCGTTCCGAATTTATCAAACCGATGGCGATGTTATCGGTTCAATAACTAGTTATTCGTCGTTTATGCGACCCGGCAACATATATAATTGGTACCGTCTTGATTTTCGTCGATAAAAACCCGTGCCCTAAGAAAACCGCACGGTCACACTGCACATGGGTCGAAATTTGCTTACTATTGGAAGCATCGCTTGCTCTCCCCTAGGGCTGGCACTGACCGGGACGAGAGGGCGAGTAACTTATATGTTATTCCTGATTAAAATCTATACCTGTATCAAGTTTCAACTCAATCCGATCAGTAGTTTCGTCGCGAACGGGTAACAAACATCCAGCTGTTTGAACGAACTTTCACGTTTATAACGTTTCTACAGCCGTCCCACGTCCGGCGTTGCCCGTGCCGATTTTTTTATTCTTTTTACCTTAATTACCGTTTTGCTTTGCCCGTTTCAGCATGCTGAACGAAAACAAATACGTGGAAAGTGGGTAGCCCGCCTATCCACTGAAAGTATTTAGTGCGTCATACATTTTCCATTCGTGTAACCGTAGATACCCGCACAGCATAGGGGTTTAACGGTAAAATTACGAAAACATAATAATAGTGTAGTGTTATTACTCTACCGAAAAATAGAAAGATTCAAAGAGGACGTTTTACGATTTTTCACTTTTCACTTAGCTACCGAGTACAGCGCATAGATTTTTTTGTTTTTTTTTTTTTTTATCCATGTTACCAAGATTGCCCATCCTATTCAAGTCAATAATAGACCGGCATATCGTTAGGAAAACTTTTTATTATAAGTTGTATAGTTGATATGACATTTTTATTTCTATTTTTGTTTTGAATTTTTTTCATCTCGTCCCTGTTACTAAAGTAATTTGACAAAAATAATTTAATTTCCGTACCAAAAATACCTAGAAACCTTTCATCGCTTGTTTCGTCCTCTTAAAATTTTTTTTCGCGATAAAAAGTAGCCTGTGTATTTCTCCAAGGTCCTGTCTGTTTCCAGTCTGTACTAAAGTTCATCAAATTCGGTTCAGCGGCTTAGGCGTGAAAACGTAACAGACAGACTTTCTTTCACATTTATAATATTATAGTTAGGATAGTTAGGATTGGGATACATATTACATATGTACTTTGTCCGACGTCCAAGCCTTTACCAATAAGATAAAATACATTATCGTTGTAAACATTTAATTTCATTCACTAATCAAATATAAAACCGTAAGGAATTCTACTAGCCAGTTATCTATAATCCACATCAACGTTTAAACTTAAACGTAAACTTATACTTCTTAAACTGTAGAACTCTATTTTATAACACGAGTACTAAATATTCAGTCATACGGTTATCAATTTCGATATTTACATTATTCTCGAGTACCTTTACATGATGGATAAATAATAATATTAACAGTGAAGACAGTGACGCGTATAACAGTGATTTATTGCTATCAGATGCGATCGAAAAAGAAAAGTTCCGTGTAATTGTTTTTAAATTAAATTTTGCGAGAGGCATTGTAGCATACGTGCTGTTTATATTATAATAATTTATATTGTACTTTAGAAATCTAGGTCAAGGGAGGATAATAATAATGTACATAGAGAGAAAAAAAAACACGTCGAAGGCGTGCGGTCAATTTGTGTGTAAATGCATGTACACATTATATTTTCAAAGAAACAAAAAAAAAAAAATAACCGAATGTTTACAATACCCTTATAATGCGTGACCCGAAAGGCTAATGCGGCGATGCGGTTCTCGTTTGGAAACCGACAAGAACTGACCCAGAACGCGGTGCAAAAAAAAAAATAAGAGATTCTCTTTCTCTCGGGTTATTTACGATTTACATCATTTTTTGTTGCGTGTCCACATTATATTGACCTAATTTTACGGTGTCAACTCTTTGAAATCTTGTACAGTATCGCTTCGTTTATACATATAATACTAAAACGACGGTCGCATACAGTGGTGTAGCTAACGTAGGGCAAAGTGGGGCAGTGCTTCGGGGCCACAGAGCTGGAGGGGAACCTCGGACAATTCTGAAATTGCTTCCTTGAAATAATTGCAAATTTTGATGTATTTAATAATAAATGTTTCAAATCTTATGCGGTAATTTCAGCCATAATCAGTATTTTACACTTTGAAAAACAATGTCACGTGTATAGGTATATTTCGAATTTACATAAATATTATGTTAGCTAGAGGGCCTAGTTTTTTAATTGCCCCTGAGCTCTTTTCCATCTAGTTACGCGACTGGTCGAATACACATAATTATTCTACACTTTAAAGTTCAAGCATATCGAATTTTACTTTGTTCTGAAATTACAATCAATAAGGATATAAAAGTTTTTAATAAGACGCTCAATGCGTATTAACTGCAAATTTTAGTTCACTCAATATGTTCAACTATTTACATCATTTTCAACCAGAGGAGGGGGGGGAATTTTAGATACTGTACGAGAACAATATAGTAATAATAAAATAACGAAAATTTAGTTGTTAAAATAATTATTCCATTTTACAATCATTAAAATTGAAAACAATAAATTAATTTTGGTTCTATATTATATAATATTACATTCGTA